GCTTGTTAATGTTATCTAAATATTAATAAGAATGTGACTAGAAAAGTCTTACACTTACACGGCGCAGGGAATACAGAAATTTATAACAGAGAAAAAGTTCATTAATCTAAACATTGTAATTAAACTGTCATTAAATTAAACACTGTTTAATTCTTTTTAACTCGAAAAACTGTATTAAATTACGCAAAAATGAATTCAGGATTCAAAGTCGGACATAATTGAACCATCAAGAGACCATGAAAATCTTTTATTATCCAATGGAGCTTTGTTGCCACCATTTCCATCTTTTGATTCAGTAATTGTTGAAGACGATTCCACTCTTGATAAGGTAAATTTCAAAATTGATTAGTACTTACAATGAATAGTTGTATACTTTATTACTTACTAAAACTGTAAATAAAGTAAATAAACTGTAAATAAATAAAGTTGTAGTTGTTGTTAAGTTATAAAATTAAGAGGTAAATATAAATTTACTTTATCTTTAAACTTTGTTTAGTATTTATAATGGTCATCTTGGCTATAATTTTTTACTATAGACTAAGTTATAGTCTATAGTAAATAAGCTATAACAGCAAAATTAATATTTAAAGTTGAAACAATCAGTCTTATAAATTATAGGTAAAAACTCTTCTGATCATGTACAGAGCTCACTGTCAAAGAATTTTGGATACAATATTCAGAGCTAATTTTGGAGAGGTAAAATATTTTTTAGTTATTGAAAAGGAAAAGGAATAAGCAAATAGAATCCACTACCATGTCCTTCATGTCTATGTCCATGTCTCCACTACCATGCCCTCTATAGTCTTCTCTAATTTGAGCTATCAAGGAAGACTCTATGGAAGGAAGTCTCTAAGGAAGTCTCAAAGACTCTATGGAAGTTAAATTAGTAATTAGGTTTGCGATGCCAATTTAAAAAAAAAATTGTTTTCCTCTCGTTAAATTTTTGAAATACAAGTTAAGCCATCTTCGGCTTTTTTTTGTTTTGTTTTTTTTTGTTTTTATCAAAGGAAGACCTTGATTTTTTTTGAAGGAAAGTCTTGCAAGTTTTTTTTTTAAAAGAAAAATTCTATGTTAGCCTCTATTTTGCTCATAAAAAATGAAAAGTTAAAAACTGTAATAGAACTTCTTTATTTTAGCATAAAACACAGTTTTTACACAATTTTAAACAAACTTTAATCGTGTTTTGTTTAAATTAAATTAAGTTATTTCAAAGTTATTTTTAAAAGTACCTTCAGGACTTGAATTAATGCAAAAAAATTAAAATGCAAAAATATTTTTTTTGCATCCTCCCCCCTTATCTCTGGCGCCACTTTGTGGTAATGGGGGGAGTAAGGATTGCATCCTCCCCCCTCATCCCTAGCGCCACTTTGTGGTAATGGGGGGAGTAAGGGGGGTTGCGTTAGTATAAGTTGTATCTGTTGTACAATAGTCTGTATTTGTTATTTTTTTAACATATTCTCTCTCATATTTAAATAACATATTTTTAACATATTCTCTCTCATATTTAAATAACATATTTTTAACATATTCTCTCTCATATTTAAATATTATCTTATAATTTTTTTGTTTGGCAGAGTTGAAAATAGGTTAAATTACTGCTATGATTTACAGCATTATACCCCGTTCACACTGACGGTGAAACACGTTTTAGTTTAAACATGTTTTATGTTTTAAATATGATAAACTATATAAAGCAGCAATATAACAACACGGCGAGGTTTTATTATATTAGCACAAGCTTTTTATATTAACAAAACAACCTTGCAGTATTGACAAAACAACCTCGCAGTATTGACAAAACAACCTTGCAGTATTGCATATATAGAAGTATTGTTTTATTGTTGTTTTATAAGTTGCAGTTGTAGTGTGAGCAAGTAACGTAAGTGAGCAAGTGATGTAAGTGAGCAAGTTTAATACTGTTAAGATACTACATTTAGTTTTCACTTAACTTAAAAAAGTAAAAGTAAAAATTTAAGAGTAAAAAAAACAAATATTACAATACTTTAACCACTTTAATTAGTTATTGAAACGTTCTTGCTGACAATAAAACACGTGTTATTTTTAAAGAGTATTTAATTGTTATTACAAAAATATTACTTTTAAGAATAGCCAAAAAAAATGCTAAATTAGAAAAGAAAAAAAAGTTAATAGAATTGAAACAAATTTAAAAAAAAAAAAAATTGCAAGTATATTTTTTTTAAGAAAAATCTACTCGAGCTGTGACAAAAGATACACCTAATTCAAGCCCTGACCTATTTAATTAAAAGCCTATTTTAGGCTCAAATGTGTCTTTTTAAAGTAAGATTGTTTAAGTTTAATCCATGTCCAAGGGGATTTTACTTTTCAATAGAAATGTTTTTTTTTGTTTTGTTTTGTTGTTTTTTTGCTGTTTTGTGAAGAGTAGTTAAAAGTTATTGTATTAAAAATTTGAAGTTGATTGGGAAATTGGTTACTGGTGCATCTATTAAGAAGTAATATATTGGAGCATTCTCAAAGCACATTTTTTTATGAATTTTAGTTTGTATGTTCTATTTAAAAGAAGCAACAATGGTCAGTACTGTCTCAAAAGATAGAATGGTACGTTAGAAGTGAACTGAGAAACCAATTAATTCTTTCAGTTAATAAAGACACCATATCAAAGTGATATTCAGCTCTGTATGTGCATTATAACGAACTTTATTCCCAATAAGCTCATGTGAGGAGCCATAAAATCAGACATTTTGATTTATTAAAACATTAGGTTAATAACATAACATTAAAATAACATTAAACGTTGTGATTTTTCAGACTTGTTTTAATTAAAAAAAAAAAATTAACATTTCTTTGAATATATTTCAAAGAAAGTTTAGAAAGTGTGTTGTAAGCCAGGTTAGCATCATATGAAATGTTTTTTTTAATGAAGAAGAGATAATTATTCTTAATGATGAGGAAATAATTTTTATCTAAGCAAAACCTTTTTTATATTTTGGTGGTTTTAAATCAACATTAATGGAAAAAGAAATAGGTAAGTGATCAAAAAAAAAAATAGACAAGTAATCAAAAAACTTTTTTAAAAGATTCAGTATATAGTAGTTATCAGTTATTAGTTGTCAAAAGATTTCTTGTTGTTTTATTAAAATATCTCAGAAATTGAAGACCTTATTTTTTTTTTTAGGGGGCACAAATGTGTTACAAAATTCAAAAATATTTAAACATTTAAAATAAATTTGCTAATTAAAGTTACTTTTGGCCCACTTACTAGATAGTCAGTCACCACGTGATCTATACGTAAAAAAAAAACACGTAATCAGATCAATGTAGATCAAGTAAATACATTTGATCTACATCTTTTTACATTTAGTAAAAATTGTTTTATTGGTTTAGGTACAGAATTTTTTGATCCATTTTTGGCACGGAATGCCGTCGCATATTGCTGTTGTTCTATCTAATAAAAATGTGATTGAACTGATCAAATGCTGCGATGTCATTCTTTACAAGGTCTTCATTTAATTATGTTTTTTTTTTTGTTTTTTTACTTTTAATAACTTTTTTAAATAATATTGTAAAAAGGTAATAGAATTGTTTTTAAGGCAGTAAGCAGTGTGTTAATTCCAACAAGTTTGCAGCCATTGCCATCCAGTCTCAGTCAAGCGATACAACATTTTGCTAAACAGTTACCAATATATTTAGAAATGGCGCTGTACCATCTCCCTCACGATCTCCAAATTAAAAAAATATCCGGTAAAAATAAATTTTGTTTATTTTGATCTTTAATTATTATTTATATTCTCGTGTCAGTTGCCATGTAACAGAAAGACCTAGTAAATAGTGCTATGTAACAGAAAGTTTCACATTTAAAACAATTGCAATGTTTTTACTAACGCAAAATACATTCTATGTAGAGGCGTACATAAATTAAACCTTTTCCTCAGGAAATCATTTTAAGTTTCTACTTTAAAAATTTTTCTTTTTATTACGTCATTAACATTGAATATAAATTCTAAATGTAAAAATGAATTTATTAAACTGAAAACCACAAAAACTCAAAAGTCTAAAAGTCTATTTAACAAATAGTTCAAAATATTGCAGATAGTTTTAAAAACTATCTGCAATATTCTCTTCTAACAAAACTTTTTTTTTTTTTTTGCAAACTTGTTTGAGTAAATTTAATTTTAATTTATTAGCAGAATTCAATTTTTGTTTCAAAGTACAGGTAGTTAGTTAGTACAGGCTCAAAGTAGCAATCGTTTTATCGTTAAATACATAAAGATCATATGCAGTTTAATGTGCATTTATTGAAAAATAATTAAAAAAACAATGTTTGCTTAATTATAGCATGCTTTATGTCAGTAGCGTTTCGTACCTACAGTAGCGTTAGGCACCTACAATAATGTTGGATGCCTACAACAGAGTTAGGCGCAAACGCGGTTCACTTCAGGTTTTTTTTTAAAAGTTTGTTTTATTGAAAGTGTCCAGTAATTACAAATGTTTATTTTTAGTTGCAAATATCTTTACACAATCTCTACTTCGTCAGACATCTCTTTCTCATCTGGCGCAAGCTTCAAAAACCGTCCTCCACAACAACGAACATCTTTCCCAAATGATTGCTGATATCCGAACAATAAAAAGCGACGATATTTGTAAATATGTTGTATTTATTTCTCGAGAGAAAGTGGAAAGAGACGTCAGAATTGTCGAAAAATGTGCGTGTGTAAATTGGTTTTATTTAAAATTAACTTATAATCTTTTTTTATCTCATTTAACATTAAATTTAACAATTTTTCTTAATTAGTGTTTAGTGAATTTGACAATTTATTTGAAAGACAAGCTACAATAGAAGAGTATACTTTCTGGATCTCATCAGTTGTGTCAAGATACGTCACTAAAGTATGCGTTTTATTCACATTCTTGAGTTGAACCTTGACCCAAAAGCCAAGAAAAAAATAAGGAAAATAATGTAAGATAAGATAAGTGAAAATATGTACCATAAGTGAAATAGTTTAACATGAGTAAATAGAATGAAAGAAAAAAAAATCTCCAAAATGAAATATTTTACTTATTTTATCTCACATTATTTTACTAATTCAATTAAATTATTTTTATTAAATTAATTAACTTAGATTATTCAAATAAGGAATAATTTAAATTTTATTTTGGGATCTGATTGATTTAAGCAAACAGCTTTACCTACTTTATTTTTGTCAGACTCAAAGAAACATTCTAGAATCACTTCTCAAAACAATGTTTTCCATCTTCGGCTTGTTTACACATTTCTTTTAGGAAGCGTTTTTATAGAATAAAGAATTTAGAAAATCGAAACTTTTTAATATTACGAAAACAGTAAGTTATGGTAAAAGTAAACAAAAAAATTATTTTATAACAATTAGTTACATTAATAAATAATTATCATTAGTAAATTAAAAACGTAAATATAAAGATTTTTGGTATCTATACAAAAAAATTACTCGTACATTTGTAAAACGCCATAATGCCTAATATATTCGTAAAACCAAAGTAAAACGCAACCTGAAGTACTAGTACAACTTACAATAAAAACAAACGAAGTGCTGTTGATATTTTTCGTAAAAAAGAAATATACTTTGTAGGCATGGTGCTAAATGCTCTTTAAAATCGGATGGTAACAGTAAAAAAGTTAATTACAGAGTCGGCAATTGTGTCAACGGCACCGTAGTTTACAAATCAACATCACATCTATACAAAGAATGTTGGCTACCATACATCGTATTTACAAGATGCAATTCGAGTTGGATTGAAAAAAACAATTTATTCAATGAATTACTGAAGGGTAAGGTTCATACCAGCAATTAAATTAATTCCAGGTAATTAAATTGGCCCAATTGAGTAGTTTAATCATTTAATTTTTTAAATGTCCACGTTTTGTCACGTCTCAGGTTATGTAGGATGTTGCACGTATTTAAATGGTATTCACATTTTGTCACGTCTCACAGGTTATGTAGGATGTTGCACGTATTTAAATGATATTCACGTTTTGTCACGTCTCACAGGTTATGTAGGATGTTGCACGTATTTAAATGATATTCACGTCTTGTCATGTCTCACAGGTTATGTAGGATGTTGCACGTATTTAAATGATATTCACGTTTTGTCACGTCTCACAGGTTATGTAGGATGTTGCACGTATTTAAATGGTATTCACGTTTTGTCACGTCTCACAGGTTATGTAGGATGTTGCACGTATTTAAATTGACAATAAAATCAATTAGTATGTTTACCGGCTCACTCGTCCCAGATATTTCAACGTTTTACGTTGGTGTATACTGTCATAAAAAGCAAGTTTAAAATTACTTACAGAATTTTATGCTGCTACAAATTTTTATTATTTAACAAAAAAGTTTCATTAAACTACTACCAAAGCGTCCAACACAAATAATCGCTGGATTTCAAAGCACTGGTTTTTTTCCACCTAATTTTAGAAAAATTTATTAAAATTAATAATTGCTCAAACATTTTAAGTACCATCTCAGCTTGCTTCGTCATCTTTTTTTAAATTTGCTTTGTTTTCTTTTGATATTCAATTTACAACATTAAAATTTAATAACAACTCCTGCTCAAACGTATGTTGCAAAACTTTACAGAAAATTGAAAGTAGTTTGAAACATGTTTCACAGCGCCACCATTTTGACGAAAAAATACAAACAGCCAAGATTCAGCATCCCAAAATTTAACGGCTAATGTCCAAGTACATTTAACTTGCTAAGTAACATCTACTACACCTAAGATGCTTGAGAAATCTACACGGTTTGTCAAAAAGGCTTAGCAATTAAGAAACGCAAGATTGACTTAAGTGACCCTTCAGATGAAACCAAGTTAAAAATTAAAAAAAAACTTTTTGTTGCTAAGTCTTCTAGTTGTAAGTATTCAGTTTTTGGTTAGAAAAGTTTTTTTTTACCAAAAACGAAATTTGTGAAATGCTTTATTGCGTAAAAAAATGCCGCGGACTTCCTACATCTTTTACATTTTTTTTTCTTTTAGTGTTGTTATGTATTACAACGTGAATGTTATTATTTTTAGTGTTGTTATGTGAAGACTTTTAAATGATTGTCGACTAAATTGACTTATATATTTTTGAAAGTCGACTAGCATCGGGTAATATAATAATTTCAAAATCGACTGAGTCGACTAAAAGTTGATTTATTCGAATTATAGGAATAATTTTTTTTTTTTAAATAAAATTTAACAAAAATAATAAAATAATTTATATTTGCTTTCTATTCATCGTCTCATTAAAATAATAATGGAGCAAACCAATATCAGAGATCGGCAGCTCCGACAACGGGATAATTTATTCCTAGACCCAAATAATTTAAAGACCGCCTTAAATATTTCAAATCAAAAAGTCTATTCAATCATATTTGCAATGTGAATGTAATGCCTTTCGATTAGTCGATTTAGTTGAAGTCGATAACAACAGTTGTTTTTGTAAATTTAATTAAAATAACTAAAATAGTTTTGTAAATTTCTTCTAAAATTTGTTTTCATTTTACCCTTAGGAGTAAAGGAAACATTTTTTCATTATAAAAATTGCATTTTTTTTAAATTTATATTGTAAAATATTCTTTATAAATTAAATGTAATTAAAATTAAAAGAAAAATTCAATTTAAACGTAAATATATCTAAACTAGGTATCTGATTCCTAATTTTGTAAATAAAGTCTGTGGTTTTGCTGAGGTTGGTGTCACCCGGTGCGGACCGCACCAACCTAGCGATGCCACTGAAAAAAGTTAACAACGATTGTGTTTGCCAATTATAAAGTTATGTTTATAAATGGCAAACATAATTATATAATAAGTTAACTTCGTTAAGTTAACTAATTAGATGACTCTAGAGTTTTGGTTAATTATTATAAATATGTATGTAAATTTATAAATTATGTTTTTTTCCCCTAAAAATTACGATTTTTTGTAACGTATTTTAGTTTGATATATATTTTTTTCAATTTTCAGCCAAGTGAGAGTGTTGCAAAATTTCAATCACTTGCACAAGAATTTCTTTTAAAATGGACATACGTTACATCTAAAATTATTCAAGAGTTAACCTTAAGAAGTGCAAAGAGTTTCGGTGAGTGCAAGTGAAGTGCATAGAATTAAGATAGTTTAAGAATTAAGTATAGCTTTTTCCTCAAATTTTTAGGTTCATTTCACTTGGTTCTAATGTTTTTCAACGATTACATATTTTACTTGATTGAATCGCATACTGATATTAATGAAGTGAGAAATATGAAGAAATACAGTCAATGTATTACCTAAAATACTATTACTCTTTTAATTTCAATACATTATAATTTTAATATATTATTTACTCTTATTTTCACTTGCTTGAAATTTTTATTTTTATTATTATTTTATGCTTAAATTTTAGCGCAACATAGCATGCAAAATAACAACAATATCTCGCCTTATTCTCGATTACGACATTCTTTAGTTTTACAAAGAAGCCCTTTACTGCTTGGTAATACCTCAAGCTATTCAATTCCTTGTTCTGAATCCTATCAACAGTTTATATTTGAAGAACCTAATAGATATAACGATATTAACTTTGAGGAAAACTCGTACCTAGACTTTGATTACTGTAATGATTCAATAAATATGCCAGATAGCAACCAATCAGACCAACACTACGCAGATAGCAACCAATCAGATCAACACTACGCAGCCTTAAAAATCGCACAAGATTTGCAGGAAAAAACTAAATCTCTATTTGGCATTTCTAGCAAGTTAATTCCTAGAATAGAATTTTATAGTTGACATGTTTAAATGAATTAGTCACATCTCGATATTAAAATCATATAAAAACCGGAACACATTAAGTGGATTGAAATGTAACAAACGTTTTTTATACAAAAAAGTGAAGTGTAACGGAGCATGCAAACTTATTGCTCAACATCAATATTGAATATTGCGCAATAAAACTTATTGTTATAATAAATATTTTAATAATGCGAAATTTAGTAAAATATTTTATATAGGTTATAATATTTCATTATTAAATGTATAATTTTTACGAGAATTTTTTAATAAAGTTTTGAAACAGCCGTACTGAGTTTTCTTTTTGGTAATATCACTCCCTGTCTTTGAAGCTCTTGCAGTATTTCTAAAATGCTATCTAATTCTTCTCGAAACTTTCGCAATTCGTCATCCTTTTGTTTTAAAATATTTTTCCATTTTTCTTCAATTGATTCAACGTCAATATCAGATTTTATTTTTGTTTTTTCAAGCAGTGTTCGTATTTCGTTCTCTCTAGTATGTCGCTTCAATTCCATGTTATAAATTTTGTTTTCAAGCTCTTTATAATGGCGGATTTCTGGAGTGTACAATTTACGTGCTTCAAAAAGTTCAGTTTCAAGTTGACGGATATCTCTTCGTAAATTTTCTTCAGTTTGCTAAAATAGAAAACAAAACAAAAAATAATTATAAAAGAAAACTTTATTAATAAAACTTGTTAAAAAAAAATTGAAAATATTCTGTCACAAAAAAAAAACAACATAAATGTCATATGCGTGATTTTTATTTGGTTTTTCAGTTATTTATGGTTTATTTTATTTTGTACAAGTAATTTTATTTTAAAATTTTATACATTATAAATTATCAATATTATTTTTAACAATTCAAAGCTGTGCAAAAAAAATCAGAAATTTGATGAAATGTTCTTAATTAGGTACAAAAACACATAAAATGTTTTTTGGTAAACCATGATGTATCCATAATAAAAATTTTCTTTTTTTCAGTATGTATTATTATTTAAAAAAATATATATTGAAAAAATTTTTTTAATAAAAAAATTTTTTTTTTCTTTAACTTGACAAATAAAAATACACCTTTTCTTCAATTGGCCTAAAAAGGAGGAGGAGGGCTTACACGTTATCTGAGGAAAAAATTAAACAAATTCGGACGATAATGAAAGTAAAACAATTCATAGGAAAAAGCTCCACCTTTTCAGTGTCCTTGCGTTTCAATAAATTTAGAAGATGAAAAAATTTTAGAATCTCATAGGAACAGTTAATAAGGCTCAAATCTAGACAAAAAATTACTTTCTCCTTTTTAGTCCAATTGAATGAGGAGAGTTTTTTTTTAAAAACATTTTTTTAATAATTATTAATCCATTGATAAGATTTAGTTTTCTACTTTCTTATAAACTTATTAAATATAAACCTTTCTAGCTTTCTCTATTTTTTTCCACTTTACTAATTTTATTATCAAATTAATTTCCGTATAATTTGATTTTTTTAATCGCTTGAAATCTCTTTGAAGTTAGGTTTTGAAATGATTAAATTCAAAGTATTGATGTTATATTGTAGCGCAATTTCTTTGATTATCTTATATTTAATTTCAAAACACAATTTGTCAATATTTTCAATTGGCTAACAGCTAATCTGTTTAAAACTATCAAATCGTTTTGAGAATATTTTATATGTAAGTTAATTAATTCTAGATAAAATAAGAAAAAAACAATTATTTCTCTGGGATTGTGCTCAACATGTTTTCTTATTCTTTATTCTTTCTTCACTTATTTTTTGGAGCTTGAAGAAGATTTTTAAAAGAATAATGAAATGATTATTTTCTTGCCATTTAGGAATCAATTACCTGCTATTTGACAATATATGATTTGGCATTTTTGCGATCAACGGGCAGCCGTCTAATTAATGGTATAAAAACTCTATTTTTTTTTTAAGATGCAACAATATCTGAGCCGTTTATTTTGAAAGAGACATAAGTCACCTTTTTAGAATAATTAAGTTATTGATAACAATGATTACAATGTAAAAGTATCTCTTCATTTGTGAAATAATTTAAACTAATTATGTTGAAAATTATATTTGAAATTATTGAATTATATTTGTGAGATTTTCACAAATGAAGAGATACCGTTACATTGTAATCAATAACTTGATTTTTTTTTGAAAATGGTGACTTTTGTTTTATTTTGTGAGCTGTTTATTTTGAAAATGAAAATTTCACTTTCAAACAGCTCATCTTAACAAATGTTTTACTTGTTACTGTCTGCAATTTTTTACCAGGTCTGATTTAAATAATATATAAAAATTTAAATAATAAATACCATTTGTTTAATAAATTTATAAATGATTATTTAATTCCTTTTATTAGATCATAATTATATTATACTAATTATTCTACTTATGTAGATTAAATGATAATAACTTGTAAAATATGACAATTATGATAATAGCTTGTAAAATATGATAATTATGATAATATATAATAATAGCTAATAAATTAACTTATACAAAAACTTCAATCTAGATAATTTGATGATAAACATTTTAATTCTTCTAAACTTTCAACTTGCAGAAAAGTTCTTAATACGTTATTTAATTGCCATGTCGCAGCAAAAATTAAGTGTAAAGAATAGTAGAAATGAAACCCTCTCCTCTCTGCTTGCATCTATTTTCTCAACATCTAAGACTTTGAGAGAATAGTTAAGGAAAAAAACTGTACACAAAGACTTTTGGAAACACCATCAAACATAAAAAAACAAGGATTTTCAATATAGCACCAAGACTGCAAGTGTGTTAATTTTGTCAATCTATAGTTTTATATATATATTTTTTAATTTTTTCAATTTTATTAACTTTATCTTGAAAAGATTTAGCCAGACGCAGCCCAAACAAATTATTTAGTTATATTATAAAAGTTTATATAACTGAATAATTTTATTCAGAGTTATAGAGGGTTGTAAGAGCAATTAAAAAAGCCACCATAACTGTTGTGATCCAATCAGTCTTGGAAAGGTAAAAACAGTAAAAAAAAAAGTTGATCATGTAAAGCAACTTGTGCATAAAACTGAAATAAATAAGAAAATTTCTGAAAAATACCTTTGAAGTCCTCAACTTCTCTTGGTCTTCTTTTAATTCCTCGACAATACCTTTTAAATGTGTTATCATAAGTTCTCCACTTTCTACTTTGCCATTAAGTTCTGCTACTTTTGAGTTAGAATGTTCTATCACGTAATTCATTTTTAGCATTCTGATCTCGGCATCATGCTCATTTAAGATTTTTTGTATTTGGTCTTCATACTGTTCTTCCATGTTTCTTTTGTCACGAAATAATTCAGCTTCCATTGCTTCATATTTTAAACGCTTCTCTTCACAAAGCAACAGTAACTCCTACAACAGATATTATATATTACAATATTTAAAATTTTTATATATATATACACACACACACACACACACACACACATATATATATATATATATATATATATATATATATATATATATATATATATATATATATATATATATATATATATATATAGCAATATTATATATATATATATATATATATATATATATATATATATATATATATATATATATATATATATATATATATATATATATATATATAGCAATATTATATATATATAGCAATATTATATATATATATATATATATATATATATATATATATATATATATATATATATATATATAATATTGTTATATATATATATATATATATATATATATATATATAATATTGTTATATATATTTAAAGGCCAGCCATATTCACCCTGGTATACTGGAACACATATGATATATGAATAGAGAAGTTACAGATAGGAAAAAATAAAAAAATGAAACGAATAAAAATTAAAAATTAAAAATTTGTAATTTTTGAATTGATTGAAAATTTGTAATTTGATTGAAAATGGAAATAATTAGATTTACCTCAACTTTGGTTTTAAGATTTACATTTTTTTCTTTTAATCTATTACATTTGCTTTTTAAATCTTTGTTTGTTTGTTTGTTTGTTGGATCCTTTGAACTGTTTTTGTTTGTTGGATCCTTTGAACTGTTTTTATTATCTATCATTGTCTTACTTTGATTTTTGTGTAACATATTTTCTCGCTCTTTTTGCAATAATGATACAGTTTGTTGTAACTCATTAATGATATGATCACGTGCAAACAATTTTTCTTTCAGCTTAACAATATAAGTGTTGCATGACAATGGATCTTTTCCACTTTTTTTTTTTTCAAAATAGTCAGCTTTAAATGGTTTTTCTTTTTCATCCAATATTAAAGATTCCTTTTTTTGTGTAAATTCATCTTGGACCGAATTTTTTGAAACTTCATGTTGTAACTTTGCATTATCATCTTGTAACTTTTTTTTTAAGTCAGAATTGTTAACTTTTATTTGGTTAGTAAGTTCAGAAATTTTGCCCTCCAAAAGCTTTGTGTGTTCTTCGTAGCGAATACTCATTGAGTTATAACGTTGCTCTAATGTTCGAACTTTTGTAGCGTAGTCATTATCCTTGGCTTCCAACTCATTTTCTAAAGATTTAATTCGATTTTCTAAAAAATTATCTAGTTTATTTTTTTGAAGATTTTGTGGATTATAAACTTTAGTTTCCCCTGGAACTGCAGAAGCAACATACATAACTGAAGATAATGAAGATGGCTGCCTATGTTTTAAAACTGATTCCATTTCCTTTATCTAAACTTAAAAAGAATTTTAAAGGAAAGAAAAAAAAATTAAAATGATCTACAAATACTAAAAATATTTAAAAGATATTTAAAATGACCTACAATATGACACAATATTCACATATTTAATCGATTTTTGTGACACCCAAATATATATACTAGGGTGTTATAAAAAAAAAAGATAAAAAAAAAATTAAAAAATTTAAAAAATTCCTTATTTTACATCTAAATAATCTTAGACTTGTTAAATAATCAAGGTCTTTAAGGACTTATTAGAAAATTTTTTTACTCAAAATATTTCTCACTTCTTCTTTATTTGCAGCCCAATAAGATATTTTTTAGGTAATATGATTTTTTTTGGCATTTTTAAAAATTGTTTTATTCACCTAAGTACATGTTTATGTACAGTTTTACAGAAAAAAAAACCATCATACCTGTCTTTTTAAATCACTTATTTCTTTTCCATCATTATTTTTTTCTGTTTTAGCATCTTGTTTTTCAGTGCGCAATTCATTGTTTTCATCTTCTAATTTTTTTACCATAGTTAATAACTGTTCTGCTTCTTTTTTTTTACAGTTAAGTTGTGAATTACATAGATCAAGCAGTTCTTGGTTTTCTGCATACCATGAAACTTTTTTTTGAAGTTTCTCAATAAGATTCTTATCATGATCAAGAATATTATTTTCTAAATTAAATTTAGAAAAATTTCATTTAGAAAATAATTATTCTAAAAAAAAACTATAACTGCCCCCAAAAAATTTAATAACGCTGCTGGACTAAGAAATGCTGACTCATATGACGTAATCAAAAATATCTGTGTTTAATTATAATCATCAATAAAGTTATTAAAAATCCATAAAGTAGATTTGAAAACAAAGAAAACTGAAATTTGAAAAGGAAGAAAACTATTGTAAATAATGGTTTATAAAATTTTAAAAATATTAGAATAAAAATAATTCAAACTGAGTCCAGAAACAAAAAACTGAGTCCAGAAACAAAAGATTTAAGGAGTGGTTTTGGTCAATGACATAAAAAAAAACCAGAGACACTTCAGTCTCAAAAACTTCAGTCACTTCATGTCAAGAAGTTGAATAACATTTAAATGTAATCCATGATAAATTGAATTGTTTAACATTGATTAGAGTTTCTGAAAAAAACTGGTTACCTAAAAATTGGTTGCATAAGAACTGATTTCACAAGGACTGATTAAAAAATACATAAAATAAACTCAGAAGAACTTAATACAATAATTGATTAATCAAAATATAAAACAATAAAACAATGAAATAAAAGTGAGATTAAGCAAACCTTTTTCAAAATTTTTATTTGATTCAGCCTTGTCCTTTAGCATCTTTACTTCTTTTTCCAAATCTAATATTTCTTGCTTGTACTCAATTTCTCTTTTTTGATAGAATTTTACTTGATTTTCTAATTGATTAATACGTTGAGCACCTAATGCAGCTGTTCCTTCATGCGAATCATAGTTTGTTCTAGCATCTAACTGTTCTCTAAGGTTTCCAAGATCTGAAGCTGCAAATAAAAAAATTACTTTTACTATTCATTTATGAAAAATGAATAAGCAAAAAATAAATTAAAATGAGCAAGTAAAAGTAAATATTACATAAAAAAAAACAAATTTTGTTTACCAACATATAAAAAACTTTAATTGACCCACAAAGTTTATAAAACCTAAAAGTTTCATAGCTCTTTCAAAGTTTATAAAACCTAAAAGTTTCATATTCTTAACACCTGCAATGATGCAGGTGTTAAGAATATGATGTCGACCCTAATCAAGTCATTGGATGAACGTTTTAAAAGCATTGAAAAGAGAAACCTTTTTATATAGTGACGACACTGGTTGATCCACAATTTAAAACTAAATTCTCCTCATTACATGCAACACTGACAACTGAAAAAGATTGAAGTCAATCTGAGCATGCTGAGCAGAAGACAAAACTGATGAAAATCCAGCAAAATAAACATCAATACTCTGGCAATTTATTGATAAAATTACTCAGTCTAAGTCCGCTGGTGGCACAGCACATAAATAACAACTACTAAAAGACATTGACAATCAGCTAAGCCAATATCTGGAAGAACCAGAAATAAATAGACACCTGATCCACTTCAGTGGCGGAGTGACAACATCCTGGATAAAAAGTTCAATAGAACTTTTATAAACTTTTGAAACATATGGTTTATAGAACTTCTATAGAATGTCTATTAATTTGTATAGAAATTACTATAAAACTTTTTTAATAACAACAATGAAGTTTAACAGAAAACAACTGTCACTTGGTATTCTGAATAGTCCATATTATTGACCATGCTCAACACCAAGTAAGGATGTACAAGATTTTGGCTCCTGTAATTTTGTTTCGAAATCCGGCTCCGGCTCCAATTCCGGCCAGATCTGTTAGTAGAAATCCAGCAAATCCGGCTCTGGCCAGATTTGAAAAAATTAAATCCAGTACAGCCCTAAAAGAGGTTGCAAAAAACATTTTTTTTTTTAAACATCTTCGCTTCCAACAAGGCTGCAAGCAACCACTAATTAGTGTTGGAAGTTACTGGAAGAGAAAAGATGAAGGTCATAGAGCAAGATAACGATTGACAGATGACTTAAAAGATTGCAAATTATATGAATCAGGAAAGCAAGTTGAAGGAAGCGAATTCCAAAGTACTGATGTTCGAGGAAAAAAACTAGACAAATAAGAGTTTTTGGAGCACTTAGGAACAGTAACAGAAAAAGGATGAGACTTAATTGAATGACAAGTAACACGAGAATGAATTTTAAAGGATGGCACAAGAAATGCTAGCTCTTTAGAGCAGTGCCCATTATAGTATTTGTAGAAAAGAGAAAGAGAAGCAACATTACGACGATGTGACAGAGGTTGAAGGTTGGCTGCAAGAGCAGATCCAACTATGTTAACAATGCGTTTTTGCAACTTGTCTAAAAGAGAAAGGGCATCATTAGAAGATCTGCCCCAGATATGGCAACAGTATTCCATACAAGGTCGGATTTGAGATTTATAGAGAATAGAATCCAGAGTAAGAAAGTGGCAAGCTCGAGCTAAGGAAACTAAGACGTAAAGTAGTATTTGAATACTAATTTCTGTCTATTCAAGACAGTTTGCTCAACAATGTGGAGAGTTTATTTTAAATTTGAACACACATGAAGAAGCTTTAAACCTAAAGAAGAATTCTGATGTTACTTTTAATGGAAGAAGAGTTTAATTTATCATTAACTTTGACATACTGCTCAATACCCGGAAGAACAATTATTCACTTTTTGTTGGATTATGTAAAATATTTACAGTAATTTTATAAAATTTTAAACTTTTTTTGTTGCTTAATATTTTGTTTAACTTATTTGACATTTATTTTTAAAAGAAAAATTCAACAGGCACCTAAAATGGTAAAATGGGCTTAGGTCCCCCTCAATTTGACCCTTTGCCCCATTTGTGACTCTTTTTTTTTTAACTTTAAAAACGCTATTTTCTATTTTTATGAAACAAATACTCTTGATTAAAAGATTTTTTTTTTGTAATTTGCAACTTAAATAGGCTTATGCCCCCCTTGTGTTTTCCCTATTGCCCCATTTATGACCTTTAGTAATTTTTTCGGATTTTAAAAACTCCATTAAACCTAAACATTCTCTGGTCCACAGTGCCTGGCAATATAATGTGTTGTTATAAATATTAAATATTAAAAAAAATTTTTTTAAGGTTTTACTAGGTTGTACTTGGCTTGGTGCCTGTTGTTAAAGCTGGTCTAAAAAAGTAACATAATTTATATTATGAAGTCTTCATAACTTCACAACTTCATAACTGATGTGTTATAGTCATTTTATGTTGTTAACAACCAGACTAAGCACAACTAAACAGATTTTGTGAGTTTTATGTTGTATTATATATTTCAGGTAACATACTAAATCAAATTGAAATATATATATATATATATATATATATATATATATATATATATATATATATATATATATATATATATATATATATATATATATATATAACAACGCATACACACACATAGCATTGATACATATTTTAATAAACTTACCCAATCTTTGATTCTCTTTGACTAATTTTGCTTCAAAGATTTTTTTTTCATTATTGATCTTCTTTAAATCCTGATACAATTTTTGATTCTCCTGTTGATATCCATTCAAAAGTTGCTCTTGTTGTTCAAGCTGACTGTGAAGTCTATCCAAATCTTCTTTTGAAATTTCCTAATCAATTGTTTATATCTCTTGAAAAAATTAAAAATTTTCAAAATTTTTAAGAATTAAAGAATTAAAAATGTTTTTTTTATTGTAAATTTTTTATTATAAAAATCTACAATAATAAAAAAAGATAGTAAATATAGTTATTATATATTTAATAAAATTAAAAAAATAAAAATAAAAACATACATTAAAGAGTTTTTTTTCAGTTGATAAATGAGACTCATCAATCAAGTTTTTTTTTTTTAAAACAAGTATCTCATCATGTAAACATTTCAACCTTGCATCATGTTCAAACAACAACTTATCTTTCTCATTTCTCCACTCTTTTTCTTTATGTAGCAAGTCTCTATTGAGTTTTTCTGAACGCCTACACTCATCATCATACAAAATTCTAACATCTTGAAGTTCTTTTTGCAAAGCAGCTTCTCTATCCAAAGCTGCAAGGTGAGAATCTTAAAAATGTTTTAAAATTATTTCAAAAATTAATATAACAAACTTTTTTTGCAAATTTTCTTTAAAAATATTTTTAGAAAAAAATTTGTCATAAACTGTTTTCATTTTTTGCAAATTGCTGTCATCATTTCCCTTTCCAAATATGTTAATTACGTCAGTTTGTCTCGCTTAGTCAATTGTTATTATTAAAAAAAGCATTACTTTGATCTATTTCATGAAATGAAGTTTTCATTTGAGATGATTGAGCAAAATCTTTCAGATATGAAGCAAATGATGCTACAGATGCAATTAGAACTTGAGAATCTTCTAATTTAGAACTCTCATTCCTTGATGATTCAAGCTGAACTTTTGATGACTAAAAAAAGCTTAAATTATATTACTAGTACACATGTAGATAAATATATGTTACATTTACATATATATATGTATATGTTATATGTATATATATACATGTATATGTTATATTTACATATATATATGTATATATGTACATATATACATGTATATGTTATATTTATATATATATACAGTATAGATAAATATATACATGTATATGTTATATTTACATATATATATGTATATATGTACATATATACATGTATATGTTATATTTATATATATATGCAGTATAGATAAATATATACAGTATGATATATATATATATATATATATATATATATATATATATTTATATATATATATATATATATATATATTTATATATATATATATATATATATATATATATATATATATATATATATATATATATATATATATATATATGTTATATGTACATATTTACACATATATACAGTATAGATAAATATATACAGTATATGTTATATTTACATATATATATATATATATTTACATATATATATATATATATATATATATATATATATATATATATATATATATATATATATATATGTTATATTTACATATATATACAATATAGATAAACATATACAGTATATGTTATACTTACATATATATATATATATATATATATATATATATATATATATATATATATATATTTACATATACATATATGTATATATGTTATATGTACATATATATTTACATATACATACATGTATATATGTTATATGTACATATATACATGTATATGTTATATTTACATACTTAAAAGCTACATGTATATGTTGCTTTATGAATTACACCATATTATTCTTATCTCTGCTTGAATTGGTCACACTCGTATGGTCACATTTTTGTGTTTATTACATTTTGTCTTTGCAACAATATCACAATGACAGAAGTGTTTACTTGATGGCAAAAAAGAGAAAAAGAGATAAATGGGTATAGGAAAAATAGAGAACATTATATAGAATAGAAAACTAAAAAAAAAAAAAGGGAAAACAAGGAAATTATTGTAAGAAAGATTGAGATGGAAGAAAAAAACATTAAAAAAACATCTAAAAGCAAAGTTTTAAAAAAAATTTTTTTGTGATACGGAAATTTAGAATAATAATAAAAAAAGAACCTTGATAATAACAAAAATTTCACAAATTAATGAAAGAAAACAAAATTTAAAAATTTTAAATTTTATTAGATTATGTGCATTATTTATATAATTGTGTATTTTTTATCTGTAAGCATTGCTTATATTGAGGTGTTTTTCTGTACACTGTTTATACTGTTGTGCACTTTTGTACATTGTTAATATTGTCATCTGTTTCTGTGGATTGTTGATGTTTTCTGTTATTTGAATTAACTGTGATTGTTTTCTTTTGCTATACTTGACTTTTTTATGTTTCTACCAATTATCTCACTTTGTCCTGCTAATGCCATGTTGTTTGCATAATATATATATATATATATATATATATATAGCACTTCATCTAGAGGGTGTCATTTCAGCAGCATATTGCTGTAAGAAAACCATAAATTAAATTTAAATCTTATTTACTATTTTAGTTTTTTTTTAACTTTTTCTTTTTTTTAAATCTCAGCTTTTTATTTTAAATTAATTTAAATTTAGTTTATTTTTTCATTTTGAATTTAAATAAAATAATTTACTATATGAATTTTATAAAAAGTTATTAAACTTAAAAATTTTAGATTTTATCAAAAATTTATTTCAATTAAAACCTTTTTGAATGTTAAATTTTTGTACACAGTATATTTATTTAATTTCTGCTCCAATTAAACCTAAACAAAGGAGGGAGAAAACCTAAACTAAGGTTTAAATTAGTGATAACATAAGTAGTGGTAGTTGTTTGGGAAAAGGACTTCTGTGTAAGAAGGCTTGAAAACAAACCCCATTAGAACCATAGTAATACTCCTACTTGTTAAAATTTATTAAAGTAAAATTTACAGCTTTTTATATATATTTTATTTACGGCTTTTCAAGCCACTAAATTTAAATAAAAACTTGAATATTCCCTGATGAATAAAAAAATTTAATTTAATTTCATCTAAATCTCTCAAATTTTAAGAAGTAATTTGAAGAAAAATCAAAAGTTTCATACTGTGTTACTCATACTATTTAGAAAACAGATTAAACAATTATTTGTGAAAAAAAGCTAGTAGATAAACCACTTCTTTGATCCAATTGGAACAATCATACATTTATGTACTATTATGTTACTAAGAAACTAATTAGCATAAATCACTTCCTAAGTAAAAAAAAAGTGACTAATTGACATAAATCAAAATATTTTTTAATAATGAAAAAAAAAAAAAATTATTTTGTTTATTATTGTTTTTATTTATTTATTTTTTTAATAATATATATAATAAATTTTACTAAAAATATTTTTACAATTTTAAGTGACAAATTTCTAACTAGAGAAATAGTTACAGAGAAATAGTTACAGGTCATATATATGTTAACATAATTACATACTAAATATAGTTATGTACAGGTCATATATATGTTAACATAGATACATACGAAAAACAGTTACATGCAGGTTATTTATATGTCAACATAGTTACAAGGTTGTGCAGGTTATTGCAGAAAAAAATAACAATTTGAACTTAAAACAAATTTAAAAGAAAAACAAATTAAGATGTATAATCATTGAAGGCTTAACTGGTTAATAACTGGTTTTTAACTGGTTAATAACTGGTTTTTAACTGGTTTTTAACTGGTTTTTAACTGGTTAATAAGAAAAAACATTGGTGTTTTTTTTTTTGCCTAAAAAAATTTGTAAGAAATAAAGAACTTTGAAATTCTGTTGACTGCAAATTGTGAAGAAATCCAAACCAATCAATATGTACCTAAGCTAGAGAGGCTTGTGTGTCAAGGAGAACACTGCAACAAGTTATACATGAAGACATGATATGAAGAGCTTCAATCCACATCAAATAGGCAACTTTTTTGTGTGGCTACAAGAGCTAAACAACAAAAAAGAGCAAAGCAGCTTCTAGAATGGTTCAAAACCCACCTAAGTGTTCTAGTCTGACAATAAAATCTTCACAATTGAGCCCAACAGATACAACAACAGAGTTCTAGGAACAATGTTCATAAGAACAGTGCCATTGTAAATTTGGACTATACCAAGAAGACAGCATCCTATAGGAATGATGGTATGGGGTGTAATTGTTCAGATGGCTCCAAAACTCCACTTTGTTCTTCACTCGTCTTTGTTCCCAAAGATGTCAAGGTGAACCAAACAACTTATGTTGAATTTATAAAAGCTTACTTGTTGCCTTGGGCCAATAAGAAGTTTGGTAATGATCCATAGACATTAATGCAAGATTCTACACCTGTTCACAGTGCCAAAAAAACTGTAGCCTTTCTTCAAGAGAAAATTCCTCTCTTGTGGTTGCCGGATATGTCACCCCCTTTTAACCCAAATATAAACCCCCTTGACTTTGTTATTTGAGGCTTCATGGAGTCGAAGAAGGTCCTCAATACATATCCAAATTTGGAGAAGTAACAAAGATATGGAAAAATCTGTGTCTGGACATAGTGTGACAAAGCTGCAATGCAGTGCTTGTGTGTCTAAAGAGTGTAGTAGACTCCAGAGGAGGCTATATTGAACAACATTGAACTGTTTATGTCTTTTATTTTTCAGTGATCAAATTTTTAGTGATTTTTAATGATTAGTGACAAATGGTTTTTAACATATTCAAATTTTTTTTTTTTGTGATAACATGTACATCCCTGTACATACTAAATATAGTAACATACAGGTCATACATATGTCAACATAGTTAGATACTAAACATAATTACATACAGGTCATATATCAAGTGTGGTGCTAGGTATATGCAAGTGTGGTGCTAGGTATATGCAAGTGTGGTGCTAGATATATGTCATCATAAATGCATTTAGATCATTTATATGTCAATATAATGTAAGCTCAATCCAAATAGATTTGTATTTAAAACATTATACCAAAGTTTTGAATTGACTATATAAAGTTTATTGTTTATTTAAAGTTAAAACAAAAGTTAAAATGATTTAAATAAAGCTTTTCCTTTCTATAGATGAATAGATATTGATAGCTCTGATAGATAGATATAGATATTCTATAGATTTTCTTTTTCTTTAGATTTTTCTTTCTATAAATATAGCTTTTTCTCAATATATATAAAGTTTGTGTTAACAAATTTGACAGTTGCAAGTGTGGTGCGAGGTGAAATTTTATATTTCAAACGTGTTTTGCAGGTGATAAACAGAAAATATTATTTATTTACTACATTAAATTTTACTTATTTACTAAAAATAAACTTACTGGACTTGGTTTCAGTGGAGATTTATTCTTTAACTGTTTAGGAGCTGGTTTAATGGCCACTTTTACAGCTGCCGGTGAATTTACCTTAACAGGAATTCTTCTAGGTAAAACAGTTTCTAAATATGTAAACACTAAATCAGTCACATGTCACAATCACATAATAATAAAGTACTAATAATAAGTCATGATTTAAACAAATCTTATATTTTAATCTTTTCTGGAAACAAAAACAAATATATATATATATATATATATATATATATATATATATATATATATATATATATATATATATATATATATATATATATATATATATATATATATATATATATATATATATATATATATATATATATATATATATATATATATATTATAAACAAATCTTATATAAATCTTATTTTCTGGAAACAAGAAAAATCAGGCACAATTTTATTATTTTGAATGGTTTCAAAGCTAAATTAGATAATGTTGGTATCTTTAAAGGTATGTGTTATACCCTTAACACAGCATATTTATCTACCTTAGAGAGAAAATTATATCTTAATTATCTAAATTATATTAAAAATAATGATTTGTTGTTTAATTTTCTACCTTTCAAGGAAAAAATTTTTTACCTTTAAAGATATAATTATTTACCTTGGAAGGTAGAAGATTTTACCTCACTATGTGTATCTCACGGGTGAGATTCCGTGAAAGCCTTTCTGTGAGTTGCTGTGAAAGCAACTTACAAAGGAGAAGGAATAGTCTGATTTAAAACCCCATCTATCTATGGCTAGAAAGAATTTAAAAAACTTGAATGATAATTTTTTGAGTGATAATGTTACAATAAAAATACTCAGCCTTAATTTGAAAAAAGGTTCAGACATCATAAAAAAACATCTGTTAAAATATAAAAACATCCGTTAGGACATCATAAAATGATTGCTTTGACTTTTAAACAAATTTTATGCTCAATAAAATGGCAGTATAAAAAGCCATTCACACTATGAAAACCATTGAAACATAGAAACCATTAAAACATTCAACCATGGAAACATGAACATTCAAACCGCAGTATGAAAACATGGTAATTTAAACCACAGTATAGAAACATGGACATTCAAACCACATCGCAAAGAAGACATTAAAATCAAACTTAAAAAAATTCAAATCATAAACAACTTTTCATTTATTTCATAAAAATAATTCACATAAAATTGTTATATATGCGAAAAAATAATTCACATACAATTGTTCATATACATAGTTGTATAATTGTTACATTATTATGTTAACAAAAAACAAAGTAGAGTATTTAAAAACAAGAAAGTCATTGAAAGAAAATTTAAATATAATTTGTTTGAGTCACAATAACATGGGCAGATGATTTTAATGTACTAATGTTTAAGGAAAAAAACTAGACTAGAAATATTTTTCAGCATGAAAAGCATGAAAAGCATGAAAGCATGAAGAGCATGAAAGCATGAAGAGCATGAAAGCATGAAGAGGATGAAGAGCATGAAAGCATGAAGAGCATGAAAGCATGAAGAGCATGAAAGCATGAAGAGCATGAAAGTATGAAGAGCATGAAAGCATAAAGAGCATGAAAAGACAGTCACAGTAAAAATGTGACTTAGCATCCTTTTGCTGTAACTTAATTAATCATGGTAGTATTTGTAGAAAAGAGAAAGAGATGCAACCTTATAACTATAAAAAGAGATGCAACATTAAAACTAGAGAAAGAGATACAACCTTATAACTATGGGATAGAGGCTCAAGTTTAGAAGTTAGATGGCAGATCTAACAACAATTACAATGCATTTTTAAATCTCGCCTAAAAGAGAGAAAACCTCATTGAAAAAAACAGCCCAAATATGGGCTATGATTGATGGTGTTGGTAACTGGTTGATATTAGTGTTGATTGGTTAATGGTGGAGTTGATTGGTTAATAGTGATCGGTTGACTATTTAATGGTGGTGATTGATTGGTTAACTGTGTTATTACCTTTTTAACAAACCCTTAAAAAAAATATTTTAAATAAAAGTCTATCCCATAAAAAAATACAACATAAAAATAATTAAAAAAAAAAATAACAGATAAATAACAAAGTAATCATTAAATAAATCAAATAATACAATTGTAATATTATTGTTAACACCATATTATAATAATTACCATAACCATATTGTAATAATTATTACAAATGATTGTACTTTTAATTCATGATTTATTTTTCAAAATAAGACAAGTTTACATTATAACTAATATTTACAAATAATGGTTACCATGAATGAAGTTGGTTGTCATGACTGGTTGTCAAAGCAACCAACTAGTAACTTATATCTAAAAGTTAATTTATAAAAAACATGTCTGAATAATTTTTATGGCATTGTGAGTAAAAAATTGAAAAATTATTCAATAGTTGTATCTAATCAGAACACAAAAATTAAAATATTATATAACAAAAATTAAAAATAATGTAAAAAACTTTCTCACTTTTCTCTCTATCTTTTATCATGGGTTTTCTTTTTTTTAAAGCAGTTGTACCTCCATTAAATTTTGAAATTTTAGGAACTGGTATAGACTTAGAAGAGTTGGTAAACACTTTGGCAGCTGGTAGATCTGATTTATTTTGAATTTGCAACTTGGTTTCCAAAAGTTTTTTTTTTTTTTCTGCTGCAATAGATTTAATGCTTTTTAAACTTTCTGATGGAGGAGACTCACTTTCCCTTTCTTGATTATTCCTTGACTCATTTTCCCTTCCTTGATTGTTTTCATTTTTGTTCTTGAAACTTGAGTCATTGTATGCACTGATATTATGTTTCAGGGTATTATGTGTGGTCACATTTGTATTTTGTGATAAATTACTAAACTCTGCTATTTTTTTTATTGCTTCCACTTCATTAAACTCTTGTGAGTTTAAACATACATTATCTACAAATAACAGTTGTTAAAAAATTATAATGATGAATAAATAACAATGTAAAAATAAAATTACTAATGTTTAGTAAATTTAATAGTATATTATTGTATTGATTATATATATATATATATATATATATATATATATATATATATATATATATATATATATATATATATATATATATATATATATATATATATATATATATATATATATATATATATATATATATATATATGTATATATATATATATATATATACATATATATATATATATATATATATACACTAGGGGTATAATATTTTTACAAACTCAGTGAGCATGTCGTTTTTTGATGAGCTTTTGTATATAATTACCAGAATTCAGTTTCATGTTTCTAGAAAAAAATCAAAATCTGTTATTCATATAATAAATAGATTACTGTGAAATAAATAAAATATGTTAAATAAATAGATTACTGGTAATTTGAAGTAAAATGCTTTTCCTTTTATAATCAAATAATCTTTTTTATTGGCATCAGATAAAATTAACAAAACATCAAAATGTTTAAAAAACTCTAAAATATTTTGATAAAACTGCATTAACTAAAAATTTCAAATAAAAGTTTTCTCAGATTGGAAAAGACTTTCGATTCAAAAACTTATACCACTCATTTGGCACAAATGTTTTGAACCAAAGCTGTGTAAATGTTGGATCTTTGCAAAGAATATCAACTTTGTAAATTGATAGCCTTTAGATGATCTTTAATGGATTTTTCGAATTCTTTTATCATTTTCAGGGTTAAACTGTTGGTTTGAAAACCAGATATCTATTTTCCAGCAATGAGAATGCATCAAAAACTGCCATCTCTATATTTCAGTTCATTCTCCTTCAATTGCATACCACTATTTTCAAAGTTCGATGTTAAACAGTTAAACAAATTTACTACATATTGCTCCAACCAAATAACATGAGATAACTTTATATATAATATTCAACCAAATATATGATGCTGACAACCAACATAGAGAGGTTTAATATGATGCTGACAACCAACATAAAGAGGTTTCTCAAAAACTTTCAAAATGTGTCATTAAACAATTTGTCACACCACTTGTTTTCCCTGTTTTAACTTATGAATTGATTTTGTTTACATTTGTAGCGTCTGTCACAATCATTTTTAAAGATCCCCATAAATTATACTCATTCGTTTTGGAATAGTAGCGGCTTGGTTTGTAGCTGTTTATCCTCTGTGCTTTTGTAGCTGTTTATCCTCTTTACTTTTGTAGCTGATTATCTTCTTTTCTTTTGTAGCTGTTTATCCTCTTTGCTTTTGTAGCTGTTTATCTTCTTTGCTTTTGTAGCTGTTTATCCTCTTTGCAACGTTTACTTTTTATTCTCTCACTTTTTGTATTTTATCGAAAATACAAACTAAAAACATTATTGCTTATCTACAACATTATACTATATATACACTTTTTATATGTTTAATCATACATATTTTGTACGATTAAAGATATAAAAAATGTATTTATAGTATAATATTAAAACTAGCATACTATTAAAAATAAACAGGAATTTTAGCACTTGCTGATCGGAAGATCTAACATTTTTAATAGAAAAAAATATCTTTATATTCTGAATTTTCTAATTCATTCTAATTCCAATGTTTGCATGATTTTAATTTCATTTTCATGTTCACTCAATTTAATTACATTGATTTATAAAAGTTTCTTTACCATTAGTTTAATCAATGAAGTAATCAAACGAAGGTTTATTAAATTACAAAAGTTTACTTAACGGAGGAAGAAGATTGACACCAGCCATCTGAAATTGTTGACACACTGTTGCAGCTGTATTCATTTTTACTAATCTAACCAATTTAACAGCCTGGTCTGTCCTTAGTTTAATTTTTTGTTTATTAATAATTATTGAAGGTTTATAATCACTGCCACTGTCATTTACTAACTCATTACTATTATTGTGTTCCTTTTCTATATTCAGAATTTGATGACAAAGAACACTTCCAATTTTAATTTTCTTTGAAAGAAGTATTTTTGAGGATCATCATTATTGTAGTATATCCCACTCTACAAGATGCTTACAAGATACTCTAAGTGCTTTAAATAAAGATTTTTATCTTCAGAATGCAACCAAAGTCCTCTTTCGTTCTATCTATATATATATTTATTTTCGTTATATATATATATATATATATATATATATATATATATATATATATATATATATATATTTGTCTCTTTTTAATCATTTTTCCTTGGCACTGATCTTTTGTCTATTTTTGGAAAATTCAAATTAGCCCATAGTTCTAAGCATTTATCTGAAATTTTCTTTATTCGTCCATTTACATTTTTCTGATGTCAAGAGTGGTGTATTGGTTTTTTATTTGCTGGCATTTTTTGTTTGTTGGCATTTTACCTAATGATTCTTGAGATTCATTTTTTCATCTTTTATTTTTTTAGTTGCAGTAAAACTTTTGCTTGACATTTTGAATATTGTGTACTAACTTAACATGTAATGTTTTATACAATTTACTATTTGATTAGGTATTTAAAATTTAAAACATTTAAAATTTATTTAAAATTAAAAACATTTTTTTAAAAAACATTTCAGTCACAGTCATTACAGCCACATTAATTAACATTATTTTTAAAATAATAAACATAACTACAAGTTTAAAATAATAAACATAATTACAAGTTTAAAATAATTAACATAATTAAAAGTCTAAAATAATAAACATAATTACAAGTTTAAAATAATTAACATAAATATAAGTTTAAAATAATTAACATAATTATAAGTTTAAAATTGATAGAATGAACGCTTAACAAATCCAATGTTACTGATATCACTTTTACTTTGTAATATTGTGAGTTTTTTAAATGTATGTACCATGAAATTGTTGTTATTTTTTTCAAAATATAAAAGCTCATCACTAGATGACATGTTCATTTAAAAATCGTAAAATTATTTTTTATTTTATACCACTATTATATATAATATAAATAATTATATAATAATTAAAAAGTTACAACCTTCTATATTATTTAGGAACAATGTAGGTTTATGATCTTCTGCAAAGTTATTCACGACTGGTTGTAAACTAAGTTCATTCAATTGAATTAAGTGTGTATCTTGTTTGTCTAATACTAGCATTCCACTTTGGACAGGTTGAATTGCTTTTAAATCTATATTGAAATTTACTCATTAACTAAAAATTTATATTTAATTTCACACATATACACACATGTATATATATATATATATATATACACATACATACATATATGTATATACATACATATATATATATATATATATATATATATATATATATATATATATATATATATATATATATATATAATATATATATATACATATATACATATACATATACATACATACATACATACATACATACATACATACATACATACATACATACATACATACATACATACATACATACATACATACATACATACATACATACATACATACATACATATATGTATATACATTAGTAGAAAATCATTTAACAAAATTTTTTTTCATTTTACACTGTGTTTCATCAATAAAGACTCATCAGAAATGAATGATCAAATTAATAAAACTTCAATTTATACCAAAAAATTAAATTAAAGGAAGTCCCAAATTTTACAGGAAGTCGCAAATTAAATTTTTTGGTATAAATTGAAGTTTTATTAATTTGATCATTCATTTCTGATGAGTCTTTATTGATGAAACACAGTGTAAAATGAAAAAAAAAAAATTGTTAAGTGTTTTTCTACTAATTTATAATTGCTCTGTTCTTTTAAGAACATTGAGCACTCTATTTTGTAGAATACATTTTTAAAATTGTTTAAACACATATATACACACATCAACAACTCTTTCCCAATCTTCCTTAGTCCAGGAGTGAACTGGTGCTTTGTCCAGTTAAGACATTTAGTTTTTTTGTGAAGAAATAGTTTCTGCTTTTTTTAATGGACAACAAGCTTTAAACCCCATGTCAAACAATCTTTTTTTAATTGTTCAGTTAAAAAAAGATTGTTTGACATGGACTCATAGAAACACTGTGTTTCTCCATAATACCATGCTTCTCCATAATACCAGTTTACTTTTCTGTTCTTTTTACACTGTCATACCAGAAACATATTGTCTCTTGTGCTTGTTATTCTTTGCAACCACATTTCGATTTGTGTCTGGGTGACAATAGACGCTTTACTAATACCAATAATATCCTTTCCCTGAAGTTCTTATTTTAGAAGAATTTCAACTTTAGCCCACTTTCTTGGAGTAAGATTTACCATTACCACTAATTCAATAAAAAATTTTGTGCACATGTCTTGATTTATCAATAATTGTGCAGTGCAGTGTGTAACAATATATATATATATATATATATATATATTGTTATTCACCTCCTCAAGGCCGAGAAGGCCACTACAGACGAGGAGGCTACTTAATAGTGGTTATAACCCTCTCTCAACTCTATAGCTCCGAAACACGAACCTTCAGGAACAAGGCCGCTGCGCGAAGAAACAAGTTGAGCGCGGTACTACCAGGGACATGGTGGGGATCGAACTTGGAGCCTCTCGCTTATGAAGCGAGTGTTTTACCACTACACCACAACCGCATATATATATATATATATATATATATATATATATATATATATATATATATATATGTATGTATATATATATATAAATATATATATATATATATATATATATATATATATATATATATCTATATATATATATATATATACATATATACATATATATATATATATATATATATAAATATATATATATATATATATATATATATATATATATATATATATATATATATATATATATATAAATATATATATACATACATATATATATATATATATATATATATATATATATATATATTTTTTTTTTTTTTTTTTTTTCAACAAGTAGTTTAAAATCTTTAATTTTATCTTTTAATAATAATTAAATAATTTTTATTAGATTTTTTTATTAAATTATTATTTAAACTAAATTATTATTTAATTTAATAAAAAATATATGCAAATAAAAAAATAATTTTCTGATAATTTCTAACTCTTTAAATCTGCTTTGGAAAATGAGTAAAATTGAGCTCTTATGCCGAGACACATCTTATGTCAAGATACATCTTATGTCGCGACACACCTTATGTCAAGACACATCTTATGTCGAGACACATCTTATGTCGAGACACATCTTATGTCGAGACACATCTTATGTCGAGACACATCTTATGAGACACATCTTATGTCGATTCTTGTTGCATCATTGTTTTGCAATGTTTTGTAATTTAAAAATATAAAATTAGAAAAAAAAAGAAAAGTTCATGACCATCATTATGATAATGAAATAAACAGAAGAAGCTTAAATCAGATCTTGCAGATTTTTATTCCTTCCATTATTGTAGGTACTATAAAATATCTTAATATATAAAAAATAAACTTTTTGCATCTTGCATCAGGTGCATTGCTAAATAAAATAGCAGCTCATCATGGTCTACTACAACAGCTCCTTTCTTAAAAACTAAAGCTGCATCTTTGCTCTCTATTACAACAGCTCATTCATTAACTACTATAATGGTTTCTTTGCAATTCGGTCATCCAAAAGATTTTTCAGCAGATGCAGCAGTTCAGATAAAGTTAAACCCTGCAGCATACAACATTTGGTTCTAAAAATTGGCAATTTAATTCAGTATGGTTCAATAGAAGAACATAGTTGAAGGGATATTGGAATTGGAAAATGGGATTTAGGAGGCACCAAAAACTCTAAATGTCACCTGATGGCAGAAGAATTAGAAGAAAGAGGGGGAATATGCAAGAAAGAAAAAAAAAAAGAATCAGCAATAGTCAACCAAGAGCAATGTCAGAGAAACAGATACTACATAAAGTCACTTCAAATATTTTTTCTACTACATAAAGTCAATTCAAATATTTTTTCTACTACATAAAGTCACTTCAAATATTTTTTCTACTACATAAAGTCACTTCAAATATTTTTTCTCACAAAAAATCTTTATTTACTTGGAAATAGTGTAATTGCAAAGCCAAGATTTATTGATGAACTGCAACAAGTGCCGCCCACTTATAATAGATGATCCAGTTACATGAGTTGAACCGTGTGGACTATTTCTAAAATTTCCGTATATATTGCAGAAAGATCACAATCAGACAAATATTTATAGCTGTTATGTAGGATCAAAACTCTCAACCAACAACAATTAAAGAATGCTGTAATTGTTATATTTACCACTGAAACCACTAATTGCATCTCATTGTTCAATATGTAGTTTCAAATATTGCATGTGTTGCATCATATTTGGAACTTCATGGATAAAGCAATTCTACAACCTTATATTTCTTGGAGTTCTATTTGTCAGTAATGAGCTGTAACTGGCCATAATATTTCATGCTATAGAAAAAGGACATGCTAATGATCCAACATCTATTCAATGGTCATCAGATAGTAATCATGCCAAGTGTCCGTCATACCATCTCCATATCATGCACTATAGATATTTTTACTGCCCCTTTTAAAACATATTTAATAACAAATAATATTATTATTATTATTACTTAACAGCATAAAAAGGTTCAATGTTATATAAAAGAAATTATTCTGATATTATCGTAAACAATGATTTTTATTCTCCTTGATTGTTTGGTATGTGTTTTTTTTTAGTTAGTAAAGTATTGCAAACTTGATTTATAATATTTATTCAGTTTAATAAATACATTTAATAAATTTTTTTTTTTTTTGTGATTTATATGTCTTATAGACAATTTTAGTGTCTACTTGTAAATAAATTCTATTTTGTTATGAGGCTGATACCACAGAATAAATCACTGAAACGTACGAAAGTGTATAAACACACATTAAAAATAAGAGCTGCCTTATTCTTTGTAGTAGCCCTCTTGCTTTGGCTTGAGGGGGAATTTTTTAATGAATTATATACAAAACTTAAAAATAATTCAAAAAAACTGTTTTAGACGCTAGAAAAAAATTATTACCTTCTTTATTTTAGCAGGATAAACTCAAAGTTTTCAGGATAAACATAAAAGAAAAAAGTTTTTTAACTGTTTAGTTTATATAGAAAACATTTTATTAAAACTTATTTTTTTTAAGATAAATTAAAACTATTAGGCCTATGCAGTTTGTGCAAGTAGTTCCATCATTATACATGCAGGGTGTACATGAAGTTTCATCATCATACATACAATATGCACATGCAGTGTGTGCATGTATAAAATAAAAGTTTATAAAATACTCATACAATGTAATAACATCTACATTTTAACTGTTTCACAGTGGGCCAGAATTCACTTTTACGGATAAAAGTAATCTAAAAAATAACTCGTCATATAAAAAAGGTTTAAAAACCATTTTTGCACTGTTTACTAATTTGAGGATTGCGGTTTTAATGGTGACATTATTTTTAACTTAGGGTTGCTATAGATACCTGAACTGCTTAGCAACCACATAATTTATTACCTAAACAAAACTTAAAATAGAAAAAGTAATAACTTTATTGGGTTTCTCCCATAATTACCACATAGAGTATTTTGATACTATAAATGTAGTGGTACTATGGATTGTTTATTTGGTTGATAGTGATACCTAAAAAGCCTGGTGCTTTATTTTGCTTATTTACTAGCTTAAGTAACTTTCTTCAAGCATCAATGTTATAACTTGTCTAATATTAATGTTGCAGTCTGATTAAAAATTATTTTAATCAGAATAATGTGTTGAATTTAAAATGTTCAACACATTCCCAATTTCTAATTTTAAATATTTTTTTGCAGTTTCAAGGGTCTATTTTATATTTTATGAAACTTCTACATAATCCATGTAAAAAGAAACCCTGAGTTTTAACCTTTTTGTGTATATAAAAGGACTAGCTAACTTCAGGTTTTCTTGTATTATATATGAAAAAATATTAATACTTTTCATGTTTTAGTTATATAAAAATATAAATTCTATTTACAAAATTTTACAAATAGGTATTTTAAGATATATAATTAATAAAACAAGTTTGTAACCCTAATCTAGTCTTGCTGAGACTTAGTTATTACATAACCATTTAGAATAAAATTCATATAATGTTTTCCCCACATAATTGGATACATCATTTACCCGGTGGGAGATAAGCTAGCAACTAGCTTGTCGCTAGTTATGGTTAAAAGACGCGTTAAAGACATATAAAATACGTAGTAATATGTGGTTTAGACGTTTTAAACACGTCTTGCATTAACCAACTATATTTTTTTCACCTGGTAACTTGTAAAAATCATTAATAGAGACCAGACGGACAACCGAGGAATGTAAAACAAATTTATATTGATAATATACATATTGAACAATGTATTTCAAGTTTCAAATTACTGGACCGCTTAGGACTGCAAAAGTATTCAAATATATAAGCGAATTTTTAACGAAAAAAAGTACTTTAAATACTCCGTCATTTGAAATCATTTTTTTCAACATGGCTTATGTGGAAAATAGTGTTGTAATAGCTCATTCGAAAGATTTTATTAAATTATGCAATAAAAAAACAGTTTTAAAGTTAACAACTATTCCATGCTTATTAGTAACATAAAAAATACTATCAAATTAAAAAAAAAGTTAATAATATTTTTTAAAAAAAAAGCTTTTTATTCTACTGTTTAGAAGCATACGTCACTTACGTCATGATGTCACTTACGTCACATGACGTCACTTACGTCACATGACGTCACTTACGTCATGATATTTACACAAAAATATATACATTTTAGAAAAGTTGAATGTTTAAGCTATAAAATGGTATATAATAATGTATTTTTTGAAAATGTATTTTTTTACTTTTGTCCACCATCTGGCCCACTGTCTGTTTGTGGAAAACACTGGTTATATTAAATTAAATTCAAACTTGCATAATTTTTTAACCAAAAAATATTTATTTGGGGATAATTAAAGAGATTTATTTATTTTTAGAACTTAATTTTTAAATCTTAACTTTTAGGCTTTTATTTTCATACCATTATTTTTATGTTTTTATTTATTTATATTGTAATGGTATTATTTAAAAATTATTACTATAAATACTTAACAATGACATAACAATGTCAAACTATAGATAAGGCAATAGATGAATAATTGAATAATA